CCTGAAGGAGGTTATCTCTCTTATAGATGAAGGGAGAGGTTAATTGGATATTAGCAAAGCCCTCAAAATGATATACCTACTTCTGTTGGAGAAACCAAAGGGTGTCAAGCAGAGGGATCCAACAGTCAATTTTCCTTTGCACATGACTAATCTTTGTGATAAATGTATAGAGAGTGTAGGGTGCTTTTTCATTGTATGATCTTTTAAAGGCAGAATTACCTCCAAAATTTCACCAATGCTTGAGTTCTGGTTACAGTCCTGCAGGGCTGGCGCCATCCTAAATGGAAGCAAGCAAGCAAGCCAAGAGATCAAGATCAAATCTTCAGAAATGGCATTCCTTTTTTGCATCAGAGAGTTGTATTCTTTAAAATATTTTTGATGTTTGTAATCAAACAAGAAAATCAGTCATCATTTAACCAGCATATGAAGAAACTCACTGAAAGTCTTTTTGATTAGACCACCTTACTTAAGACTTCAGCTGGCCTGATTTCATGCCACTTGTTTTTGTGACAAAATTTGAAAATATCAAATTCAAATTTAGTGTCACCATTCACATCACACTGCTAACAGTTACACAAAATATCTTTGTTTAGGGGCCTAATAAAATTGGTCATATAAAGAGGAAATGAGATTTTTAATGCAAAATGAAGCTGACAGTGCTCTTCTATTACTAGGGTCTTATTAGGGAAAAATTCTCTGACATCTGTTTATCCCCTGCAGCCAACCTTGTATTCAGAATACAGTAATTGATTCACAGCATCCACTGGGGATCTAACTGGCTCACTTTCCCACACCGCACTACACAGGTATCTCTGCAGCTAATTCTGAATGTACATCTACATCGTTATCTCCTGGTGAACTGTGACCCTAAACACTTTGGAGGCCCAGATGAAAGTGCTTCCTCAACCCTCCAGTGCTAGGGGTATAGGGGATTCTGCAGCATGGCAATTCACACAGGACATCCAATCAGAACCATCCCCTTTGAAGCCCTTCTCAGCTGGGAGACCATGAATGATTCATAGCTTCTCTACACAGACTAAAGAGCAAGAGTAAAGCTAGTGTGTATTATTCAGGACTGCATCCTCAATAAGTCTCCATGTTCAGCAAATTGCTACAATGTTTTCTGCTTAGTCCTTACTTCTATACAACATCTCTTTTGTGTACAACTTTTAACAAAGAAAGGTCTTCTGTTTAAAATGAAGGCGTTGATTACACCATTTCCCCTCTGCTTAAATGGCCACTGGTGTTGTCACAGATTTGAGCAGTGGCCCAAGCCAATGGAAAAGGGAACGTGGCTTTAGAGGATGGTGACAAGATTCCAACTTTACAATTAGGCTTAGGAGGGGTTATCAATTGTCTTCCCTTCATTACAATATATTCAGAATTTTAATTTTTACAGCATCCCTCTGCGTTGTATGGAAACTCTTCTAGGGAAAAACATTTTAACCTCAGTAACATGGTTTACCTGCTGGAAAATATGCTTTGCCAGCCAACACTGCTGGGTTGTCTATGAGGCCTAATGCAGAGCCCCACACATGTGGGCAGCAAATACCCAGAGATCATCATGCTAACGATTGCTAAGCATCTCCTCAATCCAGGGGTTCTGAAGACACAATAACTGCATATTGCCCCCCAAAGAAACATCAGTTCTTGCATCTTCATTATTAAACAATCTGTGTTTTCTTTGTGTCATGATTCATGGAGGGTTTATATCTTCCAAGCTGAATTATAAGTAGCAAGAGAATATCATAGAAATGCTATCTGAAAAGGAAATTTCCAGCTGATGTTCCAGGCTCTTTGGTCTAAAAATGCCAGTGGTCACTTAAAAATGAATATATCAGAGAATTTTGTGTTTGTAGTCCTACCTATATATTCCTTTTCTAAGCATCTCTATGTGATCATGAATTGAAAGATAATCTACCTATCCTTAAGCTATCAATTTCACATCTAAGAAAATATCAACAGGGTATTAAATAAGTTCTAAGAAATATTAAACCATACTGTTCTGTTGTTTGGCAGGTGATCTTTTCCTCAAATTGGCCAAAAAAGAAAAAGAAAGATGAAAAGAAAACATTAGTGTAATCACTCAATAGTCTCCAAATTGTTTAGGAGTGAAAATTAACATGGTATAATTCAACATTTGCTAAGTCATTCAAGGTCTTCTATTTCAGACTTGTCTAAACCCAGTGATTTCAGAATTTGTTGGTTTCTGGTTTGCGTGGATGTCATCCACTTTAGGAGAAGTTTGTTAGTTTCTTCTTTGGCCTAAGCTCCCCTGTGTGCAGCTTGATTTGCTCACTGCTGGTACTGATTGACAGGTATGGCAATGGAAATGTAAATGATATGCAAATGACCGTGTTGGGGTAGCTCTTTGTAAACAGAGTTGATGGCTATATGAAGGTAGAGCTCTGTGACAATTGTCTTCAATCTTTGTCAATGGGAGCACTTGGATGTTTGTAGCACACAGGTAAACTATAAAGTGCCCAAAGTCAGTTTTGCTCCCCTCTACCTAACTCAGGAGTGCTCTCTAGCATTGAACTTGGGGACATAAGTCCTTCAAGCAGATGCCATTATTTCTGTTCTAAAACTGTTTTGCATTGCTAGTTCCTAAAAGAAAATATGTGATTTCAATAAAAATTCCCCAACAAATGACATAATCAGTATTTATGTCCAGAATCTCTGCCCTGAATCCCTGTCTCTATCACCATGAAGAACTGAGCTTTATAATCTAGAGTCCTATTCAGACAGGGGACACTTTTACTTCTTTCATCTAAACCTTCCAGTTTATCTGGGTAACATTTCCTTACTTCTGGGATTGAGGGGATTTCTTCCATCCTTAATTTCTACCCATGTCATTGGGAGTGAGGGGGGATAGGTAAATTTCTTTGTCTTCTCCAAATCCTGTAAATTGATACATAAACACTCTAGTCAATTTTCAATATTTATCAGTAGTTCTGGGAATTGTTTTCAGTTTATTTAATCTTTTTTTCTCCTTCCCTTTTGTTGTATCCTTTGATGCATGAAAGTTATGAAGTGGTGACCATGAACCACATGATTTTTAGATAGAAAGGTCCATAGAGATCCTCCAGTATACATTGTTGTTGTTGTTTGTCCTTCATTTTCGGAAAGGACCAATGTCTTGATTCATGGGTAAATTGGATTTAAGTGAGGCAGAGTTGCACAAAGTCATCAGCTTCACTCTCTCTTCCAGAGTCATGAAGCAGTGAAACAACAGTTGAGATGACCGGAGATGGTCCAGGATACAGTGGATGACGTTGGTGTCTTTGGTATCTGACGGAGCTCCAAGCTCTAAGTAATCTACGATGTTTGCTTCAGCCACCTAGATGGCTATTTGAACAAATTGTTCTCATCCAGAAGAACTCTTCACATGCTTAGGGTGGACACCCCCTCCCCCCCCGTCAACTCACTGATGGGTTTGAGACCCTAATAAAGATCATCTTATACATATAACAGATGAAGGCAAAGAGCCTGAAATAGAGCGTAACTTGCTTAAGGTTAAACAGATGACAGATTTGAATGGGATTTGAAGCCAAATTTTCTCTCTCCAAAGCTAAAGAATAGAAGAATAAAGAAAACTACAATAAATAATCAGGAGATTAAATGTATATGCCCTAAAAGTAATTGAAAAGTTCTGTGTAAGCAATAGATCCTAGGAAATTTTCTCTATGAAACAAGGAAGATGTGAATTCTTTCAGGTTATTTATTGTAGAGTGTTCCTTGTAATGAATTCCATGAAGTAAAGCTCTGTTATTGCTACATAGCTGCTCTTGGATTGATAGGTAGTACCACACCTCACATTTTTTGACAATGATGGGTAGCAAAGGAGCACAGCACATAGAGTGTTGGACTTGGAGTCAGAAAGACCTGAGTTCAAATCATGACTGAGATGCTTACTAGTTATATGGCCCTGGGAAGTCACTTAGACTCTGTGAGCCTCAGTTTCTTCATCTGTAAAAGAGTGTAGGAACACCTACCTTATAGATTGTTGTGGGGACCAAATGTTCTAACATATGTATTTTATAAACCTTGAAGTACTATAGAATACTAGCTATTGGTTTGGATTACCTAAGTTATGAAAAAGATCAATACATTTATTAGGTGACTTCTCAGGTAAGACAGTATACTAGGCATTATAGCATGTACAAAATTGTCTCTGCTATCAGACATTTAATAGTATGATCAGCAAGATTAAAAAATGTTTTTTATAATTTGGTAAAAATTTTTGTAATAAAAAATTTGAGAAGAATTAAGACAGTAATAGATGTCACTGAATCTTTTGTTAATATTAAATGGAGACATTCTTGGACTTTCTTTCTTTCACAGGTGAAAATGTTGATAGTAACATGAAGTGATACAAAGGAACGTGAATGGGATTTCAATTGTGATGATGGTTGTAAGGAATATAAATCATAAATGTCAAACTATTCTTCATGTTTTTCTCTCTTCATCTTGAGCCAGGCTATAAGAAATAGCAATTACTATGCATACTTGGCTCTATGAAATGAGATTTTCACCCAAGGACATCATTAGTATATTGCAGAAGAGAGTTGTAAACATTTTAGGTGCTGCAAAACATTATGATAGTGGTTTATCATACTATCAGGGTGAAAAGTCTGTTATAATGGAAGAAAATATTAGATTATAGCCCAAAAGTCCACACTCTAATCATGTACTTCTTATAACATATTACACATTGTACTTCTTATATACACATATACTTCTTATTGCTACTACTTTTGTGAATTAAATTGATGTGGTTTTTTTTTATTTTGTTGAGGGATATAAGCCAGATAACATGAATTTCAGGGAAGTAGCCTTGGTGTTGTAGAAAGGACACCACCAGGTGTTGTGTTAGAGGCCATGAGTGTAAATCCAAAATCTGTAACTTACTATCCATAACTTTGCCAAGTCACTTAACTTCTTTGATCTTCTCCAAAATAAAGGCACTGGACTGAATGATCTCTAATTTTCTCTTCCAGATCTACACGGCATGATCTCAATAAGCATGGACAATGGAAAACATGTCATAAGATGGGAGAAGGGCAAATGTTCCAATTTTCTGAAAGGGGAAGAAAATGGAATTAACAAAATACAGGCCACTGAACTTGATTTCAATTATTAGCATAATTCACTAACGTATTATTGAACAAAGAGAACTTATTGAACTTCAAGAAAAAGGAAACAAGAATGACGTTGATCTTCAAGAACATGCCATGACTTCCTAAGCACAATTCCTTTCCTGACAGGGCTGTTAAGTTTGCAGATCAGGAGAATGTCATGGATATAGTTTACCTGAATTTAGCAAAGCATTTAACATCTTTTGTGGAAAAAGATTAAGAGATGTGGTCTAGATAATAACACAATTCAATGGATTTGGAACTGGGTGAATCACAAGATATGAAAGGTCTTTCCTGTTTTCCTATCAACTTGGAAGTAAATCTCCAGTGGAGTGCCTCAAGGATCTGTGGTCAATCCTGTGTGTATTGACATTTTTTTTTTGGTAAGTGACTTGAATAAAGGCCTGCGTGCAATGTTTATCGTGTTTGTGTACGGCAGAAAACAAACAGGGATAGTGAGCACACAAGATGATAGTTAAGGTTCTAAAAAGATTTTGATAGGCAAGAATGCTTAACTACGTCTAAGAAGATAAAATTTACTAAATTTAAAAGTTAAACAGATTCAAAAAATCAACTTCATAAATGGAAAAAAGGAGAACTACAATCAGATAGCAATTTGTCTAAAAAGATGCAGGAAACTTTCATGGGCTATAAACTAATATGAGTTAGAATTTTAACGTGGCAGCCAAAAAAGCAAATGTGATTTAAATGGATGGTACGTGTATATGTGTAGAATCCTTTCTTCAACATATCTGGTGAATGATTAATCACCTTTTGTTTGGAGATTTCTGGGGGAGGGGATCTTTCTACTTCTCAAGCTAGCTCATTCCAGTTTTTGGAAAGCACTAATTGTTAGATTAGTATAAACATACATACAAACATATATACATACATGTGTTTATATCTATCTATATATATTTATATGCAGGTATATATACATATATATTATTTGTATATATATACACATATATATTTCCAAGAATAAAGATATGATTGTCTTCTGTACTGATCAAATGACATATAGATTATTATACTCCATTCTGGGTATCATATTTTAGGAGGGAGGGTGATAAAATGAAGAGTTTACAAAGAGAGCAACAAAGATGGTGAAGGGTCTTGAGTCCATGTCATATGAATAGTTGAAGAATTAGAAAAAAACATACAGAAGTGAAGATTCAGGCTGTACAGTATTTGAAGGGCTGTCTTGTGAAACAAGGACCAAGTTTGTTCCCATTGGGCCCTGAGAGCAGAAGGAGGAGTAATGGGTAAAAGTTGCCAAGACAAATTTAGGTTAGATATAAAGGGAAAAAAAATCCTAATGATTAGAGTTTTCCAAAACAGAGTTGAGCTAATTTGAGAGGTAGTAAGTCCCGTCCCTCAACCCCTTCCCAGAGATCTTCAAGCAAAAGGTATTTATTTAATCATTTTTCTAATATGTTGAAGAAAGGATTCTGTTTTAGGTTATACTATATGGAATTAGGATCTATTTCTAAATTGAAATTCTATAATTATAATAAGTACACTTCCTGCATCACAGGGAATTTTTAGCAAATCTTAAAGTACTTTTTGGATGTGAATTATAGTATAAGGTAATTAAAAGGTCATTAGTAACCTTGGAGAGGTTTTTGGTTGAACATCAGAGACTAAAGCCATATTGCTTTGGGTAACTAGGTAAAGAAAGCAACGTAGAGCACTCTTGCGACATTTAGAAGGAAAACAAAGAAACAAAGTAACTCTCCATTGAGGAGGAAATGGCTGAATAAACTGAAACGCTAAAATAATGCAATATCACGCATTGAAAAATGATAACAATAAGTAATTTTAGTCACACAGGAAGAGTAGGTTTAATTCATACTGAGTTGAATAAACAAAAGAGGTAAAAAAATACAAAATTGCATTGTAAAATGAATGCAAATAACACTCAAATGAAGCACAAATCTCTGCAACTGCAATAACCAATCTTGGTCCTGGAGAAAGATGAAGAAATGCACCTCCCTCCTTTGGTTGCAGAAGTGAGGGATCCTGAGTGCAAAATGTTGTCTACCCCCTCTAACAAGTTTCTGTTGGTTTTGCTTAACTGTCTTTGTTAAAAATGAAGTTTTCTGGGATGGAACGGTGGGGGGGGGAGGTAACAGGGCAAACAGTGAAATGACTATGATGTAAAATCAAGAGGCAGTATATAAAATATAATAAAACCTAAGTAAAGCATAAAAAGTAAGTCTGTGAAGGTATAACGGTTAGAGAGTTGACCTCAGAGGCAGGAAGACTTGGATTCAATCTCACCTCTGCTCACATTGGCTGTGGTGATCCTTGGCAAGCCATTTAACATATTAGTACCAGCTGCTAATCTTCATTGAAGGAGGATTTTACTTACTAGGAGTTTAATACACAGATCAAATCAGAGATCTAAAAGTATTTTTTGAAATACAAAAATGCAAGACTCAGTAAAGATGGGACAATAATTAAATGAAATGGCAGAGTTAAATGGAAGGTTGTTGAACATAAATGACATTAAGAATGTTTTTAGGTAGAGGAAGAGACAGACAGATGGAGAAAATACATGAAAATGACCTATAGAACAAGGTCCAGGAGAATGTAAAAGGAGAAGGAGTAAGATTTAGGACACAATTTTAGTGAATAGCCTTTACAAAGAAGAGGACCATGTCATCCTCTGCTATGACAAAGCCTGTCAGGTTTTGGGCTCCATTGACACAGCCTTCATGATTTAAGACTCATCTCCAAAACACAATCATGGCTTGTATAGGGATGTAAGTGGAGGAATGGTAGAAATAAATTGAATCATCATCATCATCATTCCAACCTTACAAGCAGGGATTAATTTGCATTTTCTTTTACTTCTTACCCAGATCCATATAAGTTTTGCTCTGTGGTCTCCTCTCTGCTTTGGGGAAGAGATTCACTATATTTTGGCATTACGCCAGGAGGCACACAATGAACATGAGCTGGATTTGGAGTAAGAAGACCTGGGTTCAAATCCTGGCTCTAATACTTTTTACATGTATGACCTTGGGAAAGGCATTTAACTTCTCTGGACCTCAGCTGATTCATTTATAAAATGAGAAAGTTCAACTACATGACTTTTAGTTTCCTTTTCATTATAGATCTTGAATCTTTTGCTAACATTAAATTACCCTGGGATCCCTCTTTGTGGTCTCCAATAGCTTCATAACACAGCTTTTTTTTTGAACTACAATTTTGGACCAAAATTTAGTAGTTTATTTGGAAATGGAAATCACATATAGACCGAAGTCTTGGGATGGCACTCACTGAGGCATTTTCTGCTGGAAAATTCTGATACAGCTCACAATTTAAAGGAGTGTTGTAAATATTTCGGAATGAATGGACTGGGTTCACTGCTGTAATTCTATGTTTAAAACCTTGAGGATCTTAAACAAGCAACATGACCTAGACTAATTTTTATGCTGAGATTTAACTTGAAAAGCAGAGTCATGACAGCAACACTGGCCTTTTCTATTAGGTCAGATTAGGGGTAAGGACTGGAGTAAGGGAGAGCAGGACGTGGTGGTAGATTATAATGGACTAGAGTGATCAGGGAAAGTTTGGAGAAGGTAGAACTTTAGCTGGGACTTAAGGAATAAAATTAATTTAGAGAATTGAAGAGGAGGAGGGATAATTTTCTTAGCAGGGAGCACAGAATGAGCAAATTAAACAAACAGGAGTGAGCAAGTTTTATTCACTGAGTAGTGAATAGAGCAAAGGGCAGCTAAATGACGTAGTAGATAGGCGCTGGGCCTGGACTCAGGAAGACTCATCTTCCTGAGTTCAAATCTGGCCTCAGATGCTTATTAGCTGTGTGACGCTGGGCAAGCCACTTAACCCTGTTTGCCTCAGTTTCCTTATCTATAAAACAACCTGGAGAAGGAAATGGCAAACCATTCCAATATCTTTGCCAAGAAAACCCAAAAGGGGTCACAAAGGCAGATGAAATGAAGGAACAACAAAAGTTAATAGAAATCTGACTAGATTAGAGCAGGGGTGGAGAACCTGCAGCCTTGAGACCACATATGGCCCTCTAGGTCCTCATATGTGACCCTTTGACTGAATCTAAACTTCACAGAACAATTTTGGATACAGTCAAAGGGCTGCACTCGAGGACCTAGAGGGCCACATGTGGCCTCAAGGCCACAAGTTCCCCATCTCTGGATTAGAGCATTTCTATTGAGAAGATAGTGTGGTGCAATACAGAATACTGTAATTGGAGCCAGAGGATCTGGGTTTGAATCCTAGTTATGCTAGTTAATATCAGTGTGACCTAGAGTCACCTAATAAACATAATATATTAGCATAATATAATGGATAGGGATCATATTCACAGATGCAGGGAACTCCAAGGCAAGGACATCTTTAGTAAAGTGGGTCAGTAGTTCTTCTACAACTGAATTTTAGAGAGTTGCCTTTGGAACTAATAGTTTAAATGACTTTCCCAGGCTCACATAGCCAGCATGTTATTTCAGGAGGAGGACTTGAAGCCAAATTTTCTGGTTTTGAGGTCAACTGACAAACTATCTCATAAACTTCAGTTCCTTCAGTTAAATTGTTGACTATTCTTAATGGGAAGCATTAACAACTTCAATTTCAGACATATGTTCAAATCATTTTTCTCAAGTAGGTATAAATCTTATTTTCTAAAGGCAAAGTATTTTATTCATCTTACTCCACTGTAAGATTAATCTTGATAAAGGAGCATGGATTAAGCACTAGAAATTATGTCAGAAGTAAGCTAGTTCAAGCTCTGCAATTTTCAGATAAGATCTAAGGATCAGGGAACAAGAGACTTGCCCAAGATCACACAGGAGATACATGACAGAGCCAGCATTAAAACCCAAGTACTTTGATTGCACTCTACCACATTGCTTAAATGTAAGAGATCCTGTAACTTGACCATTCAGCTGCTTGCAAACACTGTTTGTATCCTAAACTTGCATAAAATGTA